GGGGCTTTACAGATATAAATTACAATAGCAGCTCTAGGACAAAGTATGCAGGAGGAGAAGCATGGCAAAGTTGAGATGACTTGGATGGGAAATGAATCACAATAGTACTAACTGAATTAAAAGAAAAAAGTCACAACAAAATAGAACTAAACTAAAATGAAAAATACGAAACTATTATAACTTTGTTCTAATCTCACCTCAGATAATCAGATCTTCTCATTTTAAAACAAAAAAGAGATTTTTCTCTATAAAGCTGAGTTTATTTCAGTTTTACAGGAATCCTGTTCCAACAAAATGAAAAAAAAAAAAGCTGTTTTTTTCCTAAAATAAACCCTCATCCTTTGAAAGTAGAAGATGTATGGCTCGGAGAGGACAGAACAAGATGAAACACTGTCCCAGCATCCGGTGGTAACTTCATTTTTTACCAATTGTTCCCGGACTCGGCTGCTTCGGAGCGATCTGAGGCCGCTGCCAGCAGAGCAGCAGCAGCAGCAGCAGTGGTGTTCAGAGCAGAAACAGCCACGCTGACAGTGATTTCCCCCGAGGAGAGGGGCTGGTGGTGCAGCACGCTCTCTGTATTAGATTCTGTTTGTGTCACCTCACATCCATTTAAAAAAAAGGCAGCACAACACTAAAATGGCTTCCAACTTTTCTCTGAAAGCATAAACTCAATATGTCACCACATGCAGCTGATATCACAGAGTGAGTTTTATGGAGAGCAGCTGCAACGTTAATAAAGAATAAAATCCTTTTTATGTCACATTTTTACTTCTTCTACTCCAGAAACTGTAGATTATTTGAAGTAGAAGTAGAGACAGTGTGGACACACAGGTTAGGATTAGACTTTCTCCTCCTGCAGGACATTTTTACGCAGATTAAGTCAGCATCTTCTGGCGGGCAGATTAAAAACTTCTAGGTTTCGGTCATCCTAATCTGCGTTAAATCTCCCGCCTCGGGCTCTCTCTGCACTCACAGCTCAGCTCGATCCGGATGAAGTCTTTGATGCCCAGGTTTTCCAGGAACACCCCGAAGGAGGCCGTGGTTTTGAAGAAGAAGGAGACGTCGGCGCTCAGCTCCCCGTGGAACGTCGGGAAGTGGAGGTACGACGTCTCCTTGTCGAAAAACGCCGCGTTCCAGAAGTTCCCTGTGAGAAAGAGCTGAAGTTATAAACCTCAAACAGAAATGGTTTGTTACATTTAGCTGAAGAAGCAGAAACTGAGCTGTTAAAGCTAAAATCTAAAAACAGACGAATACAAACTAAAGCCTACGAGGAGCAGAATGCTTGCTAAAAGTAGCAAACTGCTAACTAAAAGTTAGCAAAAAATTTGGGAAAAATGTCAAAACACTAGCTAAAAGTTAAAGGTAGCAAGTTAAAGCTGAAAATAACATAAAATAGCAAAAGGTCAGCTAGAAGCTAAATGTATTAAAAGGCAACCTAAAGGCTAAAATAGCTAAAGTATCAAAACAGTAGCTAAAGGTTCAAGTTTCAACAAACTAAATCTAAAATTATCAAAATTCTAGCTAGAAGTTAAATATAGCAAAAGGCTAGCTTGAAGCTAAATGTAACAAAAAGACAATCCATAGGCTAAAACAGCAAAAGGGAAGCTAAACGTTTCAAAACAATATCTAAAAGCTATAAGTGAGCAAAAATTGTCAAAACTTTAATTAAAAGTTAAAAGTAGCAAAGTTAAATCTAAAGGTAACAAAAAGGTAGCTAAAATCAGCAAAAGGTCATCTATAAGCTAAATGTATCAAAAGACAATCTAAAGACTAAAATAGCTAAAAGGAAACTRAAGTATCAAAACAGCAGCTAAAGATTAAAGTATCAAAATGTTGGCTAGAAGTTAAATGTAGCAAAAGACAATTCATAAGTAAAATAAATAAAGCTAAAAGTGTCAAAACAATAGCTAAAAGCTAAAAGTTAGCAAAAGATTTATCAAAACACTAGTTAAATAAAAGTAGCAAAAGGCAAGTTAAAGCTAAAAGTACCAAAATGTCAGGTAGAAACTAATTGAATTAAAAGGCAACCTAAAGGCTAAAATAGCTAAAGTATCAAAACAGTAGCTAAAAGTTAAAGTATCAAAAGACAACTTAAAACTAAAACTATAAAAAAGCTAGATAGAAGTTAAATGTAGCAAAAGGCTAGCTTGAAGCTAAATGTAGCAGAACACAATCCAAAGGCTAAAATAGCAAAAAGGAAAGCTAAAAGTGTCAAAACAATAGTTTAAAGTAGCAAAAAKCAAGTTCAATCTAAACGTAATAAAAATGTAGCTAAAAACATCGAAAGGCTAACTAGAAGCTAAAAGCAGCTGAATGGCAGCAAAAAACATCAAGCGACAGAACAGTACCAAAAAACAAAATGTAGCAAAAAGCTAGCTCAAAGTAGCAGAACTGGAGCGAAAAGCTTAAAATAGCTTAAGAAGACAAGTAGATAAAAACATGTTTTTGAAGGATTTGAAGAGAAAATGTTTGTAAATAAAGTTAAATATTAAATAAAATAAAATCACCCAGCTTCTGAAGTTTTGATAAATGAATGGTTAAAAGAAAGAACGAAGAAGTAGATTTTAAAAAACAAAACTATTAATGCATTCATAAAAAAACGGCCAAGCTGTTTACTGTGTTATGATTTATTTAATTTATCAGGTCTTAAAAGGACTTACTGTCTCCATGACAGCGGAGCGGTCCCACCCTGTAGGCGGCTTCTGACCCCGGCCGCTGGACGTCCCCCAGAACCAGAGACCGGACCGGGAGGCTCGCCTTGTGGCTGAGAAGACCCGAGTCCTCTGTCCTGTGACAGAAGGACAGAGAGGAGAGGACAAACGAGGAATCGGGTGAGGCAGATGGAGATAATGAAGAAAAAGAATGAGTAAAAGAAGAGGGGATGAGAAAGAGAGCGAGAATAAAAGACAGGAGGTAAACAAAATGAAAAACGTGCAGTTAAAGAAATGACGAAGTGAGTTAAACATAGACATTAAACAAATCCAGAAAAAGAGCAGCTGAAAGAAAAACAAACTACTTTTTCATCCTTTGACRGGATCTTAATTAGACTAATTTACTTGCATAAAAACCTGACAGGAAACGGCAACACGAGCGCGACAGTTTGGCTCATAGAGAATCGTTTTTCAGGGGAAACATTTTATTAGTCGTCCGGTTGCATCCGTCCTGACACTTAACGCTCAATCTCTGCCACTTTCTGTGACGGCCGCTTCCAGAGGAGAGCTGCCAACAGACAGCTGAGCGCGCGGCTCTGTGAGTGTGCACCCGTGTTCAGATAATCTRCACGTCAATCTTCCTGTCAGCTGACAATCTCTCCCAACACAGGGAGGAGATGTAGAAACGGCATCAGCAGGGGGTGCTGAATGAAAAGATGGCAGAGTTATAAAAACAGCCAAATGTGTGGCTTGATTGGAAGTTAAAACTAATTGTTTCCCCAATAAAYAAATATAATCTAAATTACAGACTTTTACTATGAAAAGAATGTTTCATATTCCCTCGTTTCATTAGCAGCAGTGACCAAAAGAATGAGACTGAACTGTTGAAATCAGTTTTCTCTCCACTGTAGATGATGTGAGAGATTCTGAGTAGAGCCGCTGCTCGTCCACATCCAGAGGAACCAGTTGATGTGGTTCAGACATCTGGTTTGGATGACTCCTGGATGCCTCTGTAGAGAGGTGTTCCAGGCACGTCCAACTGGGAAGAGACCCTAGGTAAGACCCAGGACATGCCTGGAAACACCTTGGAATCATCCTGGAGCAGGTGGCTGTGTCGCCCTGATAAAGCTGCTGCACAAAACCGGTCAGTTGGAGAAAAACAGTTTGAAGAAACTAATAACTATTTCTGTGTACTGTGATTAGACTGGTTTAGACCGGTTTAGACTGGTGTGGACTRTGTTTAGACTGGTTTGACTGTGCTTGGACTGGTTTGGACTGGTGTGGACTGTGCTTGGACTGGTTTAGACTGGTTTGGATTGGGTTTGGACTGTGTTTGAACTGGTTTAGACTAGTTTGGACTGTGTTTGGGCTGACTTGAACTGGTTTTGACTGTGTTTACTGCTTTGGACTGGTTTGAACTAAGTTTGTACTGAGTTTGTACTCATTTGAACATGTATGAAATGGTTTGGAYTGTGTTTAGACTGATTTGAGCTGGTTTGAACTGGTTTGGACTATGTTTGGACTGGTTTTGTTTGAACTGGTTTAAACCATGTTTGGACTGGTTTGGACTGGTTTAAACCATGTTTGGACTGGTTTGGACTAGTTTGAACTGTGCTTGGACTGGTTTGGAATGGTTTCAACTGTGTTTGAACTGGTTTAAACTGTGTTTGGACTGGTTTTGTTTGAACTGGTTTGGACTGTGTTTAGACTTGTTTGAGCTGGTTTGAACTGGTTTTGATTGAACTGGTTTGATCAGGTTTGGACTGTGTTTAGAATTGTTTGAGCTGGTTTGAACTGGTTTTGTTTGAACTAGTTTGGACTGTGTTTAGACTGGTTTGAACTAGTTTGAACTGGTTTGGAATGGTTTCAAATGTGTTTGGACTGGTTTGAACTGGCTTGGACTGGTTTGAACTTGTTTGGACTGGTCCATACCACTCATTGCGGTCGGCGTCACAGTTGCAGTAGTGCTGTGGATCTACRCAATCCCCCTGCAGGCCGCAGGCGCACTGCTGGCTGCCTGGATGAGCTCCTCCCCAGTAGGTCTGGACTTGTCCGGGACCAGGACCCCCGAGCCACCAGCTGAATGGTGAACCCTCTGAAACACACAGACAAACAGCTGTCGCAGTTCTGTTGTTTCTGTACGTTATTTTCAGCCGCGGTGRGAACAGATAACCAAAACAGTTACATTCTAGTCTTTTAGTGCTTTTATACACACTCAAAAAGTGTTTATTCATTCACACATTCACACACGGTGGTAAGCTACATTGTAGCCACAGCTACCACCTGAACCACACACAACCTTAGTGTCTTATGTAGAATGTATAGGAACAAATTTAGATTTTTGTTTTACTTTTTGTACAAAAATATATCTGATCACCAGCCTCTCAAGGCGGTGGGCATTAAATATGGACTGGACAGTGAATGAAGGCAGCAGATGATGAAAATAACCATTTTTTATTCTGAGAGGATGATTTGAAAAGTCTCTGCTGAGTCAGAACTTCTTTGTTTTTCCCAGAGTTTATATTGAAACTTTATTTCTTGTTGTACTTTCTTTCTTTAAAAGTTTGATCCAGCAATAAACTTATCCTATTTGTGTTTTTATCATCCCCTTTTTTTGTTTGTCTTTCAAAACACTGCCTGGAATAAGATTCTCAAATACAAAATAATATGCTTTAATGTATTTAAATAAGTCTCTTTATGTTATTTATTTGCACCAGAACAGCCTGGGTCAAATATTGTGCTGCTGCTAAGACAAATTCAAACAGATCAAAGTGATTCAAATTTTATTTCTAACAATCATCACTTCTTATTTAAGCCGGCGCTTTAGGCAAACTAAAGAAAAAAAAGCCTGTAAAATAAAATTACCCTCAAAACAAGATTAAGATATTAAAGGGATTAAACTTAGATAAAGTATTTGAGACTTGCTTTTAAATTATTAAAATATAATTGCAAACACAGACTAAGAT